TATACAAATATACAGAAATATTTGTATAAAACTGAATGTTCATGATTTTAAATCTGACAAACCTCGTCAGGTAAAAAGCAGCCTACATCATACTGATTTAACACTTCAATGTTCAATCTGAAACATGAGCACAGTTTATACAAGGCTCTAACGAGAAGGGTAATATAAATAAGTCACTGACGCGGCCAATCTGATCACTTGATTAGGTTGAAGTGCAATGGAATAACTTCCAATAACATGCAGAGAAACAAGCAATAAAAGCACATAATTCGGGTCTGAAAAAAATGGATTTATCCTCCGTTGGTCAGTATCAACACCTAAAGGAAGCAATTCTGGCACCTCCACTTAGAGCAAATCACTCTCTCAAGCACACTGTAGCTCACTCAGACCAGCACCTCTTCCAGGAGTACTTGTTTAAGCAGATTCCTTTGTACAAAAACAAAACAAATCAAACAAATCCTTGCACTCAGTAGAAGCGGAGAGATTTAAGGTAAGGACATTTCCTAATCCCATACGCATGCTAAAATCACCAACCACTGCTGATGTAAAAATCAGGGCAGAAAAAGCAGCTCAACCAGGGATGGTGGATGGCAGAGCAATCAGTGGCTGATATGTGGAAAAACCAAAAGGGAGAGTGATATTTTAGGGTAGGGTAACAAAATATCTTCTTTGAAAGGACTGCAGAGAGTAAATGAAAACAGTCCTTATTTATTTGATGTCTCTCTTTATATATCCCTCGCAGCCAGCATACTGGGTATTCTGAGCAACAGGAACATTTTTAACTTACAAGAGGGAGTTAAGATAATGCAATGTCTATTTGTTAAAATTTTTTTAGATAGCTGTTAAAATGGAAAATACAGAGCTAACTCGTGTATGTGTTTTATAGCAATCTCATAAAAAATAGTAATGTTTTCTAAAATTAAAATATTTTACATATGCTAAGTTGAATGTCAAAATTAGATAAGGTCTTCTGCAACTGTGGTGTCAAAAATCTGATAGCAAATTTGCTGCTCTGTTCCACTTGTGACATTATACGACTTGATGAAGCACTCCAACCATGGATACGCATCTACAAATCAAAAAGAATATGCTTTTGAACCACTGAAATTAAACAACTCTAAAATATGTATCTAAGCATAATGATTAGATAGAAAAATTAACATCTTTAATTTAGCTTGAAAAGTAAATAAATACACTCACCAAATTTCATATCCTTACTCTTCCAAATGAACAATGGATTCGTTATTGTTCGGCAGCAATTCTGATTTGATTTTTTTCCCAACAGGAAAGACTAATTCAATGTGAGGTTTTCAAAATGTTTGATGGCAAAGGCTGTAACCTAAATCATTTCCAATTTTTATTCCTTTTTTTCCCTCCTGATTATTGCTTACTGATCTCATCTGTTTTTGTTTGTTTGTTTTGTTTGTTTGTTGTTTTTTCCTCCTTAGCTGACTACAAAGAAACCAGCTCAATACCTTACATCTGTCTTCTGAAACGTCCATCAGGTAACAGGTGCTGAATCCAGGCACGTTGGCAGTCAAAGATGCCATTTCCAAGCTCTGGTCATGACCTATTTATTTATAACTTCTATTTATAACTTCTAGAATACTCTTAATATTTCTTCAACTTTGAATTTGAAAGACATTTAATTTTGTCTTCAATATTGGGCAAGGGTCAAGCAAGAGAGGCATTCTCCTGCACTGCTGGTAGAGCTGTAAATAGGTAAAATACTCTGGAAAAGCAACCTGGCAGTATGTATCAAAGGCCTACCAGCCCCTTGCTTTTTGACATGTCAGTTTGATTTCCAGAAATCTATCCAAAAGAATCCAAACAGCCAAACATCAAATAAAAGTATATAAATTAAAACCTAGCTATAAATGCACAAAAACTAATTTTTTTTCGATTGTTGTAAATTGCAAAGATTGACCAGGGAAAAATAAAGCCTGGTTGAAAATAACCTATAAGAGTTAAACTGACAACAGCTAAATCTGCAGCTGGTCAAATCTGCTACTGATGAAACATTGCTGGCAGAAGTCAAATTGTCTGAGTATGATTTAGATCTGCAAGTTTCATTATAAATGGAAATAATGGCCACAAAAGAAAACTCAGTGGTAGCAGGTGTAATCAATAAAATTTGACCTGAAGGCTGGTTGATGAATCAAATGTTACACAGAAAAAAACTAAACCTGACAGAAATACCTAGTAAAATGAAAAACTTGTAAAATCTGAAACTAGTTAATACTGAACAGAGAATTCATCAATGAATTAAACTGGCTAAATGGGGTTTGTTGTCAGAAATGTTTCCTGTCAAAATTTCACCCCTGTTGGTTTAATGTTTGTATGCATAAACATAGTATTAAATGTGCTTGAGATCAAAACTACCTGCCCTTTGTGACATTTTAAAACATTTAAAAAATCTTTTCATTTCAGAAATTATGATTCTTACCTATTGCATCCCTGCTAATGTCTTCATCCGCAGGTAGACCATACAGTATAATCAATTGCTACTTAGCAACTTACCTGAATTCAGATTTCAAAGCTTCTATGCCTTTTAAAGTCGATAGATTAGCCATATGCTAGATGTTATTTCAAGAAAAAGAATGAATGGGATTATTAAAATATTACTGCCTACCAATTTTTACTTCTGGAGGACAAAACATATCCATGATCATATCTATACTTTGCTGAAGGTTGTCATTGAGTAGGACTTCTGATGCTGGAATCTGGAAGAATTTTTCCTTAAAAAAATTATAGAACAAACAAGGAAATGATATTTATCTTCTTTAGAAGTTATAATTAATAAAAAAAGTATTTGAATATTATCTAATTAAAATAATCTAGACTATTTCACCCTATCAAGATAGTAGAATGCATTAACTAGAGTGCTAATCTAAACTCTAATATCTGATTTACCACTTTATTCTATAAACAGCTTTGAGATATATTTATCTATAAAATCAAGTTAAACTACTTTGACTTATCATAAGAATAATGATTAGAATACAGTGAGGCTTACTATTCTCTTGACAGAATATAACTGAGTTCCTACAATGTCTAGGTGTTAAGTTTAAAAAGGTGTAATATACAGTATATCTTTGTTTCATTTTTCTTCTCTACTAGATTGTAAGTTTCAGGAGGGAAGGATTTTGCTTGCTTCACGCATCGCTATACACCCATCACAAAGACTACTACTTGGCACATAGCAGGTGCTCATTAACTATTTATTTAATAAGTGGATAAATGAACTGCTTAGGCAGGAGAAAAATTCTCCTCTCAACCTGACCCCAGATTCTTTCCCAATGTATGTAGTGAAAAATTTAACCTCACTGGCCTTTGCCCTTGGTTTCTGAGAGGTAATCTCTAAGCCCTTGGAACATCATGCCTCATTGGAGGGTCCCTGTTTGCCTGGAGACCTTGGGTCACATTAACATTGTGATTTAGAGCGGGGACTTTGGAGCATGTGGTGTTAACTTGACCGCTGGTAGGGCTGAAGACTGAGAGCAGTCACATGGGCAGCCAATCACGACTAGCATGCCAACAAAAACTCTCAACACTAAGGCTTAGTTGAGTTTCCCTGGTTGGCAGTACCTCACGTGTACTGTTACACATCATTTCCAGGAAGGCAACACTATCCACTACTTTATGGGAAGCAAACAAATCAAGGTTCCATGTTTGAAACGTTCCTAGACTATGCCCTATGCACCTCTTCCCTTGATGATTAAAATCTGTATCCTTTACTGTAATAAATTGTAACAGTAAGAATAATAGCTTTCAGTAAGTCCTGTGAGTCTTTCTAGTGAATTATCAAAATGAAGGTTGGTCTTGAGGACCTCTTAACTTGAAACTGGTGTCAGAAGTAATGGGGGGGTTTGGGAATGCCCTAACTTAGAATAGTCAGAAAATGAAGGTGACCTTGTGGACAGCTCCGTAGCTTCACACAATATAACTAGCTCCCTATCAAAGTAATATTGTTCCCTCTAACATGAAATATAGAAGCTTAAAAAGCCCAATGAAATACCAATAGATAATGCCTGTGGGTGTGGCCACACTTCTGCCTTTGGCTCCCAGAGAACTTCTGCCTAGTATGGACAATAACTCTTTCCTCAAATTCTTATTTCTGAATTTTTCATTATTCAGATATTAAATTTTACAGTATCAAATTAAAAGAGAGATAAATACATAGACCATTTAAGATTTATGTACTTGTCTTTTATTTATTCTTCTGAGTTGCCTTAACTCTTCTCAGTAATCAAGTAAGCATAAATAAATATATTAAAATTCAAAAAAGTACTATCTTTTAATTAGAAATAGGTTCACTATCTCTGTTACTTACAGAATCCATAAGATAAGCTTCCAACACTCCTGTTCCATCATCAAGAGTAAATGTCATCACAAACACGTATTGGAGGGGTACAATACCTAGTACTAATATGAAGGAAAAAAAGGTGAAACCATATGAATCTCCTATTTCTTATAATCAAAGTAAAGAAAAAATTGCTTTATGATATTACATATGTTAATTTTGTTTACTAAGATAATTCAAGATAAAAAACTTATACATATATCTTTTTGTTCTCTAAAATATTAAGCTCATTTTAAAAGGTTCCTTTTGGAACATTACATTATACCAATATGGGGACAATGACTCACGAGCAATTGTATCTTTTTTTGATTAAATATTAATATAGCATGTCTTTAAAATGAGTTGATCTCAATGGAAAACAAAAATTGATTTGTGAAAGACAATTCATTGCATGTTGGCTTTATGAAAGACAAAATTAAAGTACCAGAATGTTCTAAAAAAATAGCATGCAGTATAATATTTAGGATTTTGTAACATGTTTCTCTCCTTTGTATTGTAAGCAAAGGGATCACTTATTTTTTAAGAGCTATATGGTTGAATGAAATCAGAATCTGGGATTTCATAATTTGGTAAGATGAGAAAAAAGAAAGAAATTAAAGAGATACTTAATCATATGAAAATTTATAGGTAAAAATAAACATCTTATGTTGTATCTGGAAATGGAAGACATTCAATAGGCTTAGAGAATGGAATATTGTCTTCCATTTGTGGAATTCATGTTCAAATAGGACTAACAAAGGAGGCAAGTAAGAAGAATAAATTAGGGCATACAGACATGAATTAGGGCATACAGACAGGAGAGAAATTGTTAATACAGAGGAAGTGAATTCTAAGATTCAAAAGATCTCAATAGGCATAAAATGCGAGCTAAAACCAAGAAGGAAGAACATAAAACCTATCCTGAGGGACCAACCACATAAGCAAACAAAGAACTACATTAAGTATCGGCTGAGGAGAAGAACAAGGCTGAAGCACACAGCAAGAAGCTCATGTGAAAGTAACCTGGAACCCCACTGGACCCCAAACAAAATATAAGATAGCAGTATCATGCAGCTGGATTAAAAGAGAGAGGAAACAAAACCAAGTATACAAATAAATATATCTATACAATAAGATTTTCAGGTAAGTAGAAGCAGTGTCCAATTTTAGGGAAATAAATGTTTTCTTCATACTCATGAATTGGCCAACATCTGCAGCCCTATTTTCAGCTGTAAGTGCCAAACTCTGAAAAGAGCATTGGTAAAATGGAATGTTTACTGAAGAGGAGAAATAAAATAGTAAGGAATGCAGTGAAATAGGAAAGGAAGTGAGGATGCCTGCTTGGAGAAACAGACTCAATGAAGGCTTGACAGATTACCTCCAAATGTACAGTCTGTCATCCTACAGAAGCAGGAACAGAAGTACCCTAATTCTAGTAGACAGAATGTGGCCCATGTTAAAATTATAGGCAAGCAGATTTTACCTCACTGTTAAGTACTGTACCTAAAAATTAAGGGACATGTTACCTTGCAGTGTAA